CAGTAATCGCCGGGGGCGAGCGAGCGAACTGACGGACGGGCGGCGGCGGGCGTGACTACCACCAACGATTGACGCGAAAGCAGAAGTTCGACGGATAGGCAGAGTTTGGATGCGGGAATCAGTCCGGCGGGGGGGCGGGTGGCGGCGGCGGGGGCGGGGCGGGGCAAGCAGCACGAGGGCAGCGCTGGCGGCGTCCGCGCTGGCTGCGGGCAGATGCTCTTCGCAACGCGCGCGAGTCGCGGTGATCCGCGCTCGAAGACGTGCAGGCCTGGTGGCGGCGGCGGGCGGGCCGGGGCAGGCGCGCGCGACTCTAACGCTGACCTGGCAGCCGACCCTGGGCCGACGCCGCGCCGCGGCGACACCCTACAGCGCGACTACCGCGGCGCCTCCGCCGCGAGTTTGCGCGATGGCCGGGTGCGCGGAACGCCTCTTGCCGCGGCCGCGGCGCGAGCAGCGCCGCCTACGCCGCGCGGCGTCCGGATTCAGGCCGACAAACACGCCATGACGCCGCCGGGATGCCGTGTACGTGCCACGACAAGCGAAAAGCCTGCAGCGGGCGACGCGCTGGGACGCGTCCGCCTCCGCCGCTGCGCTACATCGACCCCGGGCAACAGCCCGTGCGTCGCCATCTGTCGAGTCGCGCTGGAGGGTCTGATTCCGCGCTGAAAGCCTCAGCTGTAGGCATTAACGCCAGTGACCGACGGCGGCGGCGGGCGGGGGTGGACTCGACAGTACCCCCGCGGCACTCTCCGCCGCCCGGACGCAGCTACTCGGCCCGCACAAACGGCGGCGGCCGGGCCGGCTTTCCACCTCTACCACCCGGCGATGATGACGCAAGCCGCAGAGCTGGGCAGCGCGTGCGGCCGCCGCGCCTGTGTACTGGCAGGGCGGCAACTAGCGCCCCCTGTGGGGCGGGGCAGCGCAAGTAGGCCGCTCTGTGTGGCGGCAGTGTGAACTAGCGGGCCGCCCCTGTGGCGGCACCACAGAAACTAGCGCCCCGCTGTGCAGCGCGGCTACAGGAAGCTAAGTTATCGCGCTTGTGTAGTGGGGAGCAGGCATATAGCGCCACCTGTGTGGTGGGGCAGCGAAAACTAGCGCCCCTTTGTGTGGCGCAGCGGGGCAAGTAGCGCCCCCTGTGCGGGCAAGTGTATCAGCAATTAGCAGAGGCAAGCGAACGTGGTAACTGGCATGAGCAACTAGCCCCGTCCCTGTGAGGGCGGCAGGCTGTAACTAGCGACCCTTGAGGCGGGCTACAGCAACTAAGCAGCCCCTTGTTGAGGCGTAGGGCTGTAATCTAGCGCCCCTGTGAGGGGCGCAACAGTAACTAGCACCCGCCTGTGAGGCGCAAACAGGCAACTAGGGCACCGCTGCGGCAAGCCAGAGCAACAGTTAGCATCTTCTGCATTGTGCAACTGGCAACAAGGCGATAACAGAGGGCGTGGGTATCACTTGAGGCAGCAACTAGCGGGCCCCTGTGGGGCAGCACGGCGGTAGCTGCACAAATCAGAAACTAGTTGCCGCCCTGCTCACTGCGGGTTTGGCGTTTCTGTCGGCAGTGTTGACTCGTGTTGTACATCAGTAGGGCCATTGCCCTCAAGATTAGGCATCACTGAAGGGCAAAAGCATTCTACAAAATTATAATATAACTATATTATATATATATATATATATATGTGTGTATATATATATATACATACATATATATAATACATATAAGAAGGCGGGACAGGCGGCCAGGGGTTGTGAATCACTGTGGGCCATAGTCCAGACCTTATGGCATGTGCATATGAAATATTTGTACTAAACACGCAATTTGTCATCGTGTAATCCACGATTCGCTGAGTGTGGGCATGTCGCATCAGTAACGTTACTCCTCAGGGCTCTAGATATCTTAAGGCAAGCGTGACTACGGTGTCTATACAGAGGCAGAAGACGGAGGATATGGCACAGTATTTTGGTACGTTCGCAGTGACAGATTCAACACGTAATCTTGCTCTATCTACAATAAACGGCGGCAGGAATGATAATTTCGCGAGTTGCATTGCCACATAACAGCATTTAAACTCTGAGTATAATAGCGGCAACGATTGCGATAATGCACTGGGCTAGTTATTTTTTTTTGGGTTTTACAATGGGGGAACTTGTTTCCAGCACACACACAACACGACAACACACACAACAGACACCAACACACACACACAAGACACACACACACGCCAGCACACACACAAACACAGAAACAATAACATTCCGAAGAACTGACCAACAAAGTAGATAGAAATTGCTGTCATCGCGAGCGTGAGTATTCGAGTGTATTATAACATGTACGCGCGTAGGCATTGCGGCTTGTGTTGCGGTCGAAGCGGGCGTTTGGCAATATTCAAAAGTGTAAGCGGTATTATTTACTTACTATTTGACTGGTAAATATTAGCGTAGCGAGACCGGTATAAGTAGCATACATGTAAAACTAAAATCGTTGTTTGGCATGGTTGGTTTGTTATATATGGATTTATAAGTGTGGCGTCGCAATTCGGAAATGAATGTGACGATGTCGACTATGCAATCGTTATGGGATGACCCATTTTAGCAACCGTTAACAAGCTATTATATATCCAAGCTGTCATGTAGGTCCTTCGGGGCTGGCCGATTGTCGCTGCCATATTTTCTCGCGAATATTTGGCTTGTATGGAGCAATGCGACATCGTAATGTTTATATATATTAGTCTCCAGAGGAGGCTGCATGCCAATTTCTACAAAACTTATAACGTATTATTAATGATTTCGCGCAATTTAACCGGCTGAGATTGTGCATCAAGGCCTACGATCTTAGGCAAGTTGGGCTTTGTAATCAGGGCAAACGTAAAGTACTGAGTAGATGCATGCGAACGCTTCGCACTAGTGATTGATTTTTAATTGGCCGACATAGCGCGCAAGTGGGGGCATTTATGCAGAATTGTGACAAAGGATACTTCTTTAGGCACACGGTTTTTGTATATAGTTGCATAGTGGCTTTAGTGGATAACGGGGCGTCGCCAATTGTTGTTTCGGACATGCGAAGCCGTCCTTAGGTAAGAAGCGGGCAATTATGTTCATAGACTGGTTCATTGAACTGCAAATCAACATTCCTGAAGCCTTGCTGTAGCATTCCATCATATCGCTTGCCCTCGCTTCGCTGAGACCGTAAATTGGTATTTTAGCTGTGGCAAGATTGGTTATCAAGTTTCGCATTGAAGTTGCTGCTCTCTCTCTCTCTGTCTCTCTCCGCTCTCGGCTCATCTCTCTCTGCATCTCTCTCCTCTCTCTCTCGCTCTCTCTCTCGTCTCGTCTCTCTCCGCTCTCGTCCTCTCTCTGCTCTCTCTCTCTCTCGTCTCGCTCTCTCTCTCCTCGTCTCTTCTCTCTCTCTCTCTCGCTCTCATCTTTCTTTGTCACTCTCCACTTCCCTTCTTCCCCCTCTCTCACTCGGAGCACTTTCTCTGCTGTCTCAGTTTTCTCTTTTCTCTCTTTCGCGTCTCGCTCTCTATCTATCGCCCACTTTTATGTCTATCTATTCTATGTATCTATCTATCTATCGATCGATCGGATCTATCTATATATATATATATATATATCTATTTATTTATCTACTATTCTGCTTGTCAATCTGCCCACTCTCTCTCTCTCCCTCTTTGTTTCTATCTCTCCTCCCTCTGTCTCTCATCAAAATTGAATCAAACTGCGGTATTGTTATATATCTCTAAACGGCTATGTACACTGTCCCTATTGCTCTGTTGTATTTTCCGAATAAATACGCGGTAACGTTTTTATGTAAGTTGGCGCAAGTTGTCTATTGTCAGTGTTGACGTCTCTATTATCAGTTTTGACTTTAATGTATTTCCGTAATTGTGATATATCATTTTGATACCGAGGAAGTGTATAAAGACCAAGTGGTTTGTGTTTATTGAGTTAGCCTTTGCTCAACGTCTCCAGTTGTTCTTTCATTGAAATTATCCGCATGATTTTGTGATATGACGAGTATTATTTTTTGGTGTATCATGTTTATGGTCTAACTCCTGTGTTGCCAGTACAGCAGTAGTTCTTTCGTTGAAGTCTACAATCAATGATACGTGCCATGGCTAGCAAGGACTGCGCTCATGATCATTCGCCCCCTTCGAATGTCCAACTGAGTAACATGCGTGTAAATAAATTATTTCGAGTCTTATGTGATCACATCAATTTAGCAGCACATTCCCTAACGCACCCACCCGCCTGTTAAGTTGCAAGAAAATTTTTACTTGTATAAATGATGAGTTCCCGAACCATAGCGCCAGCTAGCGTATTTCCGAGCTAATCTTGTGTTATATATCAGGAGTGAAACTCGATTGATAAAGCGCTGCTGATTATATCCTAATTAAGTGTGTATGCCTCAGATGTGTAAATCGGCTGTATTTCGCTGTCACTGTCTTGTCAGGTCAAAGTGGAGTCGTCGCCGCAAATTTTTACATACTACGATGAGCCATGCCCGTGCATTTATTCCTTCTGTTTATTTATTCACCGCGGCAGTTGTCGCTTATCTTCACGTGGATGCCCGCGTTCGAACAACAACTGTCAATTAAAGTTGCGTCACACGTTCCAGAGAAGAAATGCGGACTGCCTAATTTCGAAAGTTACGACCGAATCATTTGCCAAATTATCGCGTATGAGAGGCACCGGGTGGTGAGTGCGGTAACTTTTCGCGTCTGCGTTTATTTGATTCAAGGAGCTGTCAAACATGGTCCGCCGGGGATCATGACGATTGTCTAAATGTAAATTAAAGGCCGGTTGTCGCGTCATCATGTCTGCTTGTGTTGAATGCCAGGTGTGGCATCTACTGCTGGGTGATCTTTCCTCATTCACTACCTGGCTGTCGCAGTGTTCTAGTTGCATTCGTGTTTTTCAGCATCAACAACCTCCAATTAACAACAAACAAACAATTACAATAAGCTTAGTTGGCGAATGCGCAGATTTTGCTCGCTGTTCGATCATGGCATCACATAGTGAGGGAGGTTGCTCTACACGCGTGCATGTGTGAATGTAGCTTGCAGTCATCACCTGCTTGGCATCCCCAGTATGACAGCAAAGTATAACGTAAAGACAGCAATCCACACGACGCGCTGAAATGTTCGAAAGATGGAGGGAAAGATATCACTTGCGTATCAAATGGCAATATATTACGCGCGATCAGAGATAGTAGAGCGAATCTTGTGGCAGGTCTTGCACTCTCACTGCGCTTGACTCGGCATATAAACGTGTAAGCTGTCATAGTAGTGAACTAATCCCGGCGTTTGCTCTAACCGTATCGCTCGTACAAACCCACATTTCGCATTTGTCAAATGCGTGTATATTCACGAGTAATTATAATAACAGTGTACACACGTTATAATGATAATTATTATTATATAATAAAAGTTTTGCATCATTTTGTTCATCATCATTCGCGTTTTGTTCGTCTTCATTTTTGATCATCATCGTTACGTTTGGCACAGTTCAAGTTATCGCGGCGTGCAATCGTGCTCATTGTTACGCAATGTATAAACTTACCGCTAATATTAAAAATATAGAAAGACTAAGATACTGTGCACATCTAGTTTTATTTTTTATTTTTTGGTAATATTGAACTTGATAATAGAGGTCGCCAGTAGCTAGTATGACGTGTACATTTTGCATATACCACCTTGTGCGGCACCTGCTATGTTCTTTTTCCGCGCCACCTGGCGCACGAGCGGGCGTTCGTACGGATGCGATTGTAAGTAAACGTATAATACGTACGTAATACCATAACACCATACCACGTCAATACTGCTCGCAGTACTATACAAAGATCATATATATATATATATATATATAATATATATATATGCTGTTAAATTTAGAAATATTATAGATGTTATGGGTTTTAGTTCTTTTATTTTCTATTCGCAAATTTCGTAAATGGTAGTTTTTATAATGAAGCTGTGTAGCAATACAGGCGCTTCCGACTTCCTTTCGGTAATGGTCTCGCATTTGTTTCAATCGTGTGGACAGTAATTGACGCGGTAGTTGGTGGACCCTGCATTTTCAATTGAAATTAAGAACGTACCAATTTACGTGTAGTAATTGTCAAATATTATCCTTCCTGTAAAGACGACTAGGAACATGCCGTATGTTCTGTCCCAATTACACATTAAACTGCGAATTATAAATGGAACAATTTTCAATACATTTCTGGTTTGGCAATGGCTGCTCGAGAAGTACTAGCTGCGTCAGCGCAACGAAGTCACGTGACCACAACGGCTTCGTTCAAATCTGTACAGTGGATACGCGCATGCACGCACACACCAGAGTTGTCAGTAATTTATGCAGCACGCTCCTGGTTTTTCGCTTACACGTGAGTATTCAAGCAAATGTCAACCCGGCTCTCCAGTTTATGGCCTTCCACGTCCAGAATCAAGGAGGCTAGACAGTCGGGGGTTTAAAGTTCAAAATTTTCGAGAGAATCCTATTTTAGTTTCAGCTTTGGGGTTCCAAATTTGTTCCAATAATAAGTAAATTATTACACCCCCCCCCCACACACACACACACCTTCACTCACACAATAATGATTGGCATGTAAGGCCACACTTGCTACGCATTTCCATTTTAACTGGCCATGGACACTCATTATTCGGGCTAACGCTCCATTAGGAGTGTTCCCAACTTTGATATCATTAATGATTAATGATTGATAATCCTAACCCTAACCCTAAATGACATTAAACCACAAACTAATATATGACCATGACCATATATATATATATATATATATTTGTTATTATGACCATTAATGACATTAAAGTTGGGAACACTCTTAATGGAGTATCACCCATTATTCGAGCTGTTCAAGTAAAATCTTGGCAGTAATGCATAGTAATTCTTTCTAAGATTAAAATGCATTTCGAGGTCCATTGTATGCAAAAGCAAGTTGGTTTTGAGCAGACAAATAAAGTGCAATTTAAGCGATGAGTAGAGGTTATGCACATTTTGTTGTTGTTGTTATAGCCACTTTGTAGGCTCGAAATATTTTAACTCGTCCCTTTCCTTTCAGGAAAACGCAGCTGACAGACGTACCATCTTCAACGTGCTAGTCTTCTCGGTGACCGTGGCGCCCCCTGCTGACCGCCGACAACAGCAACGATATTTTCGGTTATGTTATGTGCGGTGTAGGAAACGTACTGCACGCACAGTCTTATCTCTTAGCCATCGGTCTCATCTCCTATGCCTCACTTTCATCTAGTCAACATCATTCATTGTCTATTGTCTATTAGTATTACTCATTTACTGACTCTGTAGTCGAGCATATAGCAGTTCATATCACTGGTCAGTTAAGCACAAATCAGTTAATGTCAATGGTCAGTCGAACATATAGCATTTCATATCACTGGTCAATCGAGCTTATATCAGTTCAAATCACAGGTCACTCGATCATATTATTTATATCACTGGTCAGTCGAGCATATATCAGTTCGTATCACTGGTAAATTGAACATATATCGGTTCAAATCACAGGTCCGTCAATCATATTATTTCATATCACTAGTCAGTCGATCACAAATCAGGTAATGACAGCAGTCAGTCGATCACAAATCAGGTAATGACAGCAGTCAGTCGATCACAAATCAGGTAATGACAGCAGTCAGTCTATCATATAGCAGTTCAAATCACTGGTCAATCGATCACGTATCAGTTCAAATCTCAGGTCAGTCGATTATATTATTTCTTATCACTGGTCAGTCGAGCATAAATCAGTTAATGGCAGTAGTCAATCGATCACATATCAGTTCATATCACTGGTCAATAGAACATATATCAGTTCAAATCACTGGTCACTCGATCATATACAAGTTCATATCAATGGTCAATCGATCACATATCAGTTCAAATCACTGGTCATTCGATCATATTATTTTATATCACTGGTCAGTCGATCATATATCAGTTAATGTCAATGGTCAGTCGAGCATATCAGTTCATATCACTGGTTAATCGATCACATATCAGTTCAAATCACAGATCAGTCGATCATATTATTTCATATCACTGGTCAATCAATCACATATCAGTTCAAATCACTGGTCATTCGATCATATTATTTCATATCACTGGTGTGTCGAGCATATATCAGTTAATGTCAATGGTCAGTCGAGCATATCAGTTCATATTACTGGTCAGTCGATCATATATCAGTAATGTCAATGGTGAGTTGATCCTAGCAGTTTCTTATTCTTGCCATTATCAGCTTTCTTTTACATGCCTTTCACGCCAGCATAGTTCTGCAGGAACATGTGTAGTCAGTCAATTGTAGGCCTGTGTTGTAATATCAGCGTGTTCGAGTTTCTTGTAACTTTGCAGTTTTAGTTTGCAATAGATAGACAATAGATAGTTTTGCATAAACTTTTATTTTTATATCATTCAAAATATCATTTGTTAAAAATAAAACATTTATTTAAAATATATAACTTGCATTATTTCTATGACATGAATTAAACATTAATCTATTATTAAACATACTCTCTCTCTACTCTACTCTATCCTCCCTCTCGCTCTCACTTGCCCTCTCACATGCTCTCTCTCTCCCTCTCGCTCGCGCTCTCCCTGACTCGTGCACACTTTCACACACGCTCCAATTCTCGCTCTCGCTCTCACTCTCACGCACGCTCTCTCTCCCTCAGTGCTGTCGCTCTGCTAACCTAAGCTAAGCTAACCTAAATCCTATCGCAATCTCTCCCCTATCCTAATTCCCCCCTCCCCCTTCCCCCCTCCC